ACAGATTAAACAGCAAGTAAACTCCTCTCTGTTGAGTCAGTGAAATTACTGCAGCATCTTGCTCTCTGTTGAAAACATCCACAGGCAAACGCTGCTCCACTGATTTATTTATCTCATTCTGAGTGTGCCACAATAAACGGTATACTGTGAGTTACCGGATGGAACAACCATCATTGTTGATGGTTGTTTCATCCTTTATTCACTTGAAAAGACAGAGATAATCAGCAGAAACAACATGATAGTTTCGTAGCTTGTTCTCAGATCCACAGAGTTATCTCAGCCGAAGAATACCCAAAATAAACTTCATAGTAAAACTAAATTGTATAAAAAAGTGTCAGTAAGTGGGACTTTCTGTTGAGATGATTGTCAGTTAAAACTCAATTCAATTCAGGATCCTATTTCTTTCCTACCAGGAGAAATGAAAGGAATATGCACGTTAAGAGATAAGCTTTTGGCTCAACATGACATTTCAACCATTTACCAGACACTTTGTCGCAACTTCTCACTGCTGGATCTGAGATAAACAGTAATTGTATATCCTTCATATATTTGAGAAAGCTTTAGCCGCTCTGACGTCTGTTATCTTGAAAGAGACGTTTCCACTTCTGAGGCTGTTAGTGTGTCAGGTGAGATAAACCAAACACAGCTTCATAGGTCCAGATAATTCACACTATTTTCAGATATATTTTTGCTCCTGTCAGACATTGTGTGAATAAAGAAAGAAAGAACATTTCCATTACTGAGGCTGTTCAACTTAAATCAGATACACTTCAAAAACGTTTTACATTTTCACATAACTTCAATAGAAATAAAAGAGAAAGAAACAACCCCTGTAAAGTAAACTTTTTTTTTTTACACTTCTATTTCAGTTACGGTTGTGTGTCTCTCTGTCTTCTTCACTCATCATCTTGGGTTTGCATGTTCGCCCCATGTCTGCGTGGGTTTCCTCCGGGTGCTCCGGTTTCCCCCATCATCAAAAAACATGTTAGGTTCTCCAGTCAGTGCTATTGACCAGACACTGATAAACATCTGGAGTTGGTCTCCGGGCGCTGCACAGTGGCTGCCCGCTGCTCCCTTGAGGGATTGGTTAAATGCACAGAATGAATTTCAGAACATGTATGTGTATGTGACAATGAAGTAAAGTATCAGTATTGGCTTCACTGCTGGTACAGAAATTCAAGCATGAAAATCAAGGATCAAATTCATGCTTATATATTCAAAATGCGACAAATGAACATAATCTATACGGAGAAAAGAAGATGCAGTTTTTTTTTCGTTTCTCTGTAACCCATGACCAAACTGGACTCTGAACCAAAGTTTCAGAATACTATATCAAAACCAGTGTTTCCCATACCTTCATTTATTTGTGGCAGCCCGCCACAATATCAACGCCGACCGCCACATATTGATTTTCGTTTTTTTTTTTTACTATTTAAAATCGTATTTGATGGCATTCGCAGCACATCCCCTCTACTGAAATCAGTCCAACACAACGCTGTCAATTTAGGAGATCCGGCTTTAAAAAAAGTGCGCCACAGTTACACTGTCATTCTGTGGGAAACACGGAAAACCTTAAAGGAATTATCACAAAAGTTGCACGTTTGCATATCCATGCAAAGTGTCCTAGATGCAGAATTGGTTGTCTACTATGACACAATACCAGGATAAAATGACTTAACGTGTTTTTAATACAGTGACTCGGCCTACCTGGGTGAGTTTCAGGTACACCAAGTGGAATAAAGGTCCGCTACTTTTTGAGTCTGCAGGAAGAGGTGTGCATTGATGGAGCTCACTAATTGAATCAGAATTTGTAATAACAACAGAAAGCTTCACAGCGTGGCATGATGTGGCCACAGTTTTTATGAAATCTATGACTTGTTAAGTTGCTCCTATGTCGTGTAGAGATATCAGTCCTGTCTGCTGTCTTTTCTGCCTTCTCTGCATTTCCCAGTTTCCTCCCAGTGCCTCTCTGGAGCCTCCAGTAGCCTCATTCCTGGAGCATCATCAAGTAGCTCTTTGCCTGCATCCCCTTCAGTTAGCCCTCTGGCTTTATCCACTCTGGATAGCCCCCCTTGCCTGCATCTTTTTTAGCTAGCCATTCATTGCTTTCCCTGTTGTCAAGCTTTATGCCAAGACCCCATAAAGTCACTTTTGTAAACTTGTTATAAAGTCAGAGCCACGCAGAATGCTCCTGCCATCTCACCAGACTCCCGGCACCCTTAACACTGAGTTCAGTTTGCTTCCATCAGGATGGAGGTTTTATCTCCCTACAGGTGGCACCAGCAGATACAGTATATATCATATGGTCTTTTAGTCCAACAGCTGCTTTTTAAACAAAATATAATGCGACCTGCAACAGATTTGACAGGGTGACCCTTTAGTTTCAGGCACTTATTTTCTGGCTACCTTCTCTAAATGGACAGTATTGGATTTGCCATTGTATCTGCTGTGTACTTGTGAACTTTTTCTATTCATTGTTGCTTTTAATTATTGCTATACTTTTCTATATTCTATTATTCATTGACTTTTATTCCCCCTTTGGGATATCAACTCTTTACTCTTGCCAGGATCATTTAGAGAGCCTACCAGCAGGTTTCATTTGTGGGTTCCCGCATTTGTCATCTGACTGGGTTCAGGTTAACTTAAAGCCGTGGATCTGAGGGTGTTACTGGTGATTCCCAGCATCCTCAACAGGCTCATTCTCCAGAGTCCCTGCTGCAGGCTGCCCCTGCAGTCATTTGCTTCCTCATTATCCAGCTGCTCTGCTCTGCCTTGAGTTTTTCTCTCTATTTTTTCTTTTTTTCAAGTATTTTACTTTAAGAAAGTCGGTGTCAACTAAGATGGTTTGGGCAAGAAATTAAACTACATTGAAATGAATTCCTCCAGAATCATTTCATCTTCCTGTGACTCTGCTGGCTTACCAACCATCAGTCCATCAGTCTATCTGGCCTCTTGTCTTCCCGCCTGTCTGCACACTATGTTAGCCAGTCGATATTCTGGGAGCTATTTGGATACATGTTCTCTTCTTCTTCTCAATGCTAGACAGCACATTTGTACTGATGCTGAGGATGAACAGTGAGCTGTGAATAATGAGCAAAGAGATGTACATTCAGTAACATCACATTACAACAGAAAAATCAGTTCATGTATATCCATATTATCCTCCTGTGCATAAGTCATTTGTGAACTACATAATTAATTCCCTCGCCAAAATTGAGCTGCTGATTTGGGCTCAGACAGATTTCCTCTCAAAAACATTTTTAATGAAGGAGGTGAATTGAAATTCTATTTTCAGGTTTAATGAAACCCCCTTTTCCTCGATTCCTTTAATGAGGCCATTAATGCACAAAAATAGTGAAACTCTGGTGGAATCCATTTAAACTCCAGTTATCTACAGAGCTCGGATCGACAAGTTGATTAACTTCTTGTCAGCACTCTTCAAAATTAAAAATTTGAAACTCCCTTCAGAGTGTAAAGCTTTCTGGACGTCCATATTTAGCTTTGGAAAATGCCTACTTAAAGTAAAATAGTGTATTTTCAGCCAAGGTAAAATCCTTGTGTGTTCCAGTAAACTGCACGGAGATGATCAATGCATTATGGGAGAATATTGTCTTACTGTAGTAAATGCATGTTTTGTGTGTGCCTGACAGTTCAATATTGTAAATGCATTAGTAACAATATATGCATGCTTTTTTTTCCACTTGGCAACATCAAACACAATTTATTAGCTGCAGAAAATGAACTCCTTGAAGAGTTTCCACTTTCCAGTATTCCTCCAGATAACAGAGAAGCAAAGTCCCTCCTCCAACAGTGTCCACCATGGGAACTTATTCGGGAAAAAAGATGTACAGTCACCATCTTAGGGTTGGGTATCGTTTAAAATTTTACGATACCAGTACCAAACCCAGTACCCTTAAAGTGATACCGATACCAATTGAGTACATTCGATACCTTGCATAAAATGTCATCTGTTGACATGTCACCTGATTGGTAGCTTATTATTATTTTTATTGTTGTTATGGACAAGCAGGGTTATCTATATTATTTTTTTCTTGTTTCAAATAACTGCTACATAAAACGTATTGTATCACATCGCTCCCCATTCTAATTAGGTCATCCTCACTGACCTTTAAGGGGAAAACTACAGCTTGGGAGTTATTTTATATTTGAATGAGACAAGCAAGACCTGTTGCTTGCGTGACTACATCCCCGTACGAAACCCACGAGCATCATAGCGTCAGCCACTTTCGGTAGCTTGTTGTTAAGGTAAGACATCACTTAGCAACTTTTGAGTGTGTGGTCTTTCTTATACTTCCAACAGTTTTACTACAAAGTGAAACTTTCTTGACTTGCAAAATTATCTTCTAAATTGACAAACATCTCATATGTGTACATATGTGGGCACTCCATTGGATATGTGGTTTCAGTCGTTTTGATATAGATGGAAATCTATTCTGATGTGCAGCTAAGATGGACGGAGATAATTGTGTGGATGTAGCCTTAGGCCCTATTTAAAAAACAATTACCTCGATAAAGAGGAAAAACAGAATATGCAATTTAAGGTTTAATGTAATGGTCTCTGAGACTTACTTCCATTTCTGCTGTGATTTTTATGTCTATTGGTGAATATATTTTTATATTTATGTATTTCCGTTTATTGTTATACTCCGAGTCCCTAAAGCAAATTCCTTGTATGTGTAAACCTACTTGGCAATGAAGCTGATTCTGATTCTGACTTTAGAAAGAGGAAGCAGGGCAGAGCTGCTGTCTGTTGCTGTGAAAGGCAGCAGTAAGCGTGTTAATTCCTGGCAGAGACGAGCTCTGGTGAACCGAGCAGCTCGACTGTCTGAAGCTTCCAGGAGGCTGCTGCCAGTCTGATCAGCTTTGTTCCAAAACAACAAAAACCTGAGTTGCCCTGGAAGAGAAACCAGTAGGATTAGTGAAGCTGCTGTCTGTAGTTGTTTAACATCATTGTTTCAAGGATAAAACATAAGAAAAGTTATACTTACACAATGTAATGCCATTTGGATCTCATTTCTTCTCTGACCTGGTTTCATAAATCCAGGATTATTAAACACCTTGAGGCTGTTTTTACTGTTATTGAGCCAGTCGTAAAAAATATATATATATATAAAAACACAGACAAGGTGAGGGAAGATCAGACAATATAATTCTCTGACACAAAGATCTGGTCTGCTTCTCATCAATCCAGCAAACTGTGCCTGGGCAGAATGGACTCAGTGCCTTGCTTAAAGGCCCTAAGGTTGTACAGAAGGAAAACATCCATCAAAAACAGTGCACCTGTTGTCACCATCATTTGCACCAAAACACGTTACAATGATTCACAATTGCTTTTGCTTCCTAACTGGACAGACTTCCCTGGTCATTGGACATGAGGTAGAACGTTTTATGTGATTCAGAGCAGGAACGTCTGCATGTATCTTTAAATCAATATGGTTGATTCTTACAGTATCTGTTGTCCACAGCTGTTTTAGACTGTATGAAAAGCTTCTCTTGTCAGTTTAATAAATCCCTGCAGGCCAGATATGTAGGCAAATCTGCAGCCTTCCATTTGCGATGTGCCGTGCCAGAGCTCAGCGCCATTATGCCCGGCCGTCCACTGTCTTAACATGTCGTCAATGAAGAAGACATGTAGCTGCAGACAGACAAGAAAATGCCTAACAAAATGTCAGTTCTCTCCTCTCAAAGATCAGTTGGAGCAGCTCACCCGCAGTCCACCTGGCAGAGCCAGTGCCTCTCTGAGGAAACCTGCTGCTGTCTTCATCATCTGTCTGGCAGCCTGCAGGCATTTCAAACATCTGTCAGGTAAGGATTAAACAACGCAGAACTGTCCATACCCAAGGCTCTCTAACTCTAACAAACTTCCCTTTCAAACAAAACCTGCCATAAAAAAACACAAGTCCTGATCTAGTTAGCAGGAGACTTTGTGTGAGACTTTTTTTCTATCATTAATTCTTAGAGAAGTTCATTAAATCCAGACAGCAGAGAGGTAATTATGTAAGTCGTTAAAGTGCATGGCTGGTAGGTGTTTTTCGTCAATCCCTGATTAATATTATATATTTTTAGATTTAATGTCATCAGATAAGGATTTGATTAATAATCAGTCGTCAGAGGATTGATGTCCGTAGAACGTGAAGATTCAAGAGCTATTCATTTGTTTTCAACATATAATGGTGTGTTTTTTTGTTGAAGAGTTCTTGGAGTTTATTTCATCCTATCAGGGCACTGAGTCTAATTAAACCAGTTATGCTCAGCTGCTTCCTACGCTTTGTGGTGTTAGTAAGGTCTGGCATATGTTTTCTGTTTTAATCCTTTGACCCATGTGGAATTTATTCTTGTACGTAAATCCAGATCCAGACTCAATACTTTTGCTTTTGCTTTTGCCACAAGTTACACATGATGCGCCTACAACCCATTTTGTGTACTGACTGTATTTAACCCTCTTTGGTGCAGCTCCATTGTTGTGTTTTTCGGATACCATTAGCTATTTCAGCGAGTTTGAACTTGATAATTAATAACTTGATTATTAATAAACTTTACTATAATAAATGCCCTTTCCACTAGCCGTTGCCACTGCTAAATGTAAATTGTGACCAAAGCAGTTCAGCCACGGCCAGTTCAACTTGTTCACTGCTGCTATGATGTTTGCCCCATTGTCAGTAGTAATCCAGGCCAGTTTTTTTTCATCCAGGGAGCACTTATCAAATGTGTGGCGGAGAGCTTCTGACACATTATCGGACATGTGGTTCTGCGGCAAAAACACTGTTTCAAGGCAACGTGATTTAAGAGCCCAGTCCGTGGTCAGATAATGCACTGGTAGACTCATCTAAGGAGTCATTTTTTGAGACTTGACAACATATTAGTTGTGTCATAGAAGTAGTCTATATTCTTGAGCTCACTTTGAACCAATGACTTTACTGTGTAGTACAATTTTGGGAAAGCAGGCTCTGAGTAGTAGGTTTTGAACAACATACAGATTCAGTGTTCATTCAATGTTACATTTCTTATGTGATAAGGAGCTGTTGTGCTTTATGTGCTATTTCTGGAAAGCAGCAAAAATGCATTTTGCACTATAAACACTGCATAACTCAGTGCTGTTTGACTTAAATGGTTCTTTATTTTATGTCAAAAAAAGGCAACCCTCTTTTTGCAATCTTCTACCCACAATGCAGCGCGCCAGTGTACAGTGCACAGAAGAGTTGAATTCTCTCTGAAACTCGTTGATTTCTCTCCCTCTTTTCTGGCTCCCAGCGGCTTGATCTCTGCTCTGCACTCAAAGAAACTGAGTGTCTTTTCTGTTTCAGCCAACTGGCCGGCCGGTCGGGCATCAGGCCTCGAACAGCCTGCAGCTGCTGCTGTGAATATAAAGCAGAGTCAGAGTGCATCTTTCACAGGCTCGCTCCATCTGGTATTCAACATAAATACGAGTGTGGACACAAAGAGACGCAGCAGCAGCTCAGGAACAACTCACATAATTCAGTAGCGAAGTCACTCATCATGTCTCTTTGAGCCTTTAATGCTTCAGTTTACTCCATTATCTCCTAAAAACTGTTCTATCGACAGCTCACTGGCTTTGACTCCCTACAATACGTACTGATAGGTGATTTTACCGCTTTTTCAGATAAGTTTGACCAAAGGCCTGGTCACACCAACAAGTGTCAGAGAAGTATTCATTTAATAATAAAAATAACCACCAGTGACAAAGGGACTACTCACGGAGCTAGTTGGTAAACTACAGTAGTTGGCAAGCTAACCACTAACAAGCTACCAAGCCTGGGACACGCTGCTCACCCACAATATCACCTTTTTTTCCTTAAATGAATAACTTAGCTCTAAAACGTTGCACAAAATTGCTACTGCTTCCCTCCATACTGTTTATATATTAGAGAAAGCTCTTATCTTGATTTTTAGGAACAAACGTGACAACAGATATGATCATTCACATCAACAGAATAAGACAGGAGACTGCAGTGAACTGACTCAAATTAATGTAATGAAAAGCTTCTGTTTCTTACCAATATTTATCCCGAGAATCACAGAATTTCTAACAAAGCCTGAGTCAGTGTGTTTCTCAAATATTCACACTTTGTTTGTACATGAATATTCAGCTTTCTCTAATTATGTGTGAATGCCTAAATTTGTTGCGAAATGATCTGTGCAAACTAAATGGAAAAGCTCTAACTAGAGAATAAAGATGCAATTTTTTCATTTCTTTGTAATCTACTGTACTTGTTAATACAGACCTAATATTGACAAAGACACTTAACTTATTTCTTCATCTTGTTCAAATCCGGTCACATTGTACACACATTTTTGTAAAAGCACAACTTAGTCAACTAAAAGAAAAGGCCTTTTCTTTTTTTAAATTGAACAAATGGCCCAGTTTCGGTCACACCTGCCAAATGGTTTTACCGAACCCCAAAAATTCCATTAAAGGTCCCATATTGTCCTCATTTTCAGGTTCATACTTTTTATTGGATGTCTTCAAGAAAATATTTACAAGCTTTAATGTTGCAAAAAACATGTTATTTTTCTCATATTGTCCACTGCTTAAGCAGCTCTATTCACTCTCTGCCTGTACAATCCGTTTTAACTCCTGTCCCTTAAAGGCACCCTTCCCTAAAAGCCCACTTTTGTCTGATTAGCAGAAACCAGTAGACTGGCAGTGAGGGCTAGTCTCGCATAGCCAGACCTTTCCCTTTACCATACAAAAACACAACTTTATAACTTTATTTACTGGTTTTGGTGAAGTTTGGTGAATCATATTTTATGGAGAAAATATTTTCAGATTTTCCCTCAGATGTCCTCTGGCTGTTTTGGCTCAACTTTCTGATTATCCTGTTGGACATATAGCTTTAATTGTTATTAACAGCAGTTACTTTAGCTAACTACTGCTAATGGTAGCTTCCACTAGCTAGTTAGCTCAGTTAGCTGTGCAGCTAGCCATCCTGTTAGCTGACTCTGGCCAGACTGGAAGCTTGGTGTTCCAGGGCTGTGTTGGAGTTTACACCTCTAATGTTATTACAGGAGCTTTGGACCACTGGTAGCGTCCAGTTTGGGCAGATTAACATCAATTATCAATTCACATTAAGGTGATAAATTTTTGTGAATTAGTGTCTTAACTCAGCTAGTTGACAGAGCATCAAACCTCTATCCATTGCACCTTTTCCTGCGTCTAACTTCCATATTTTTTTCGTGTTTAGTTGTTAAATTTCAAATCTCTTCTGCGACCACATAGTTTTAAAATCTCCCACCCATTTGGTTTGAGCATTAAACAGCCAGCTGGTTTCTCCGTGTGTGGTGTGGCCGCAGGCCACCGAGGCGTGTGACACTCATGTCGAGTGTGTGTTAGTGCACGATGTGTTCCCTTGTTTCTCACAGACTCCGGCTTCAGTGTTATCTGATTCCCTGCTGCGTTTACTCCCAACAGGTTTTTATCATCCGATTCCCCTGCTGTCTATACTCTCAGTAGGTTTTCATTATCAGATTCCCCTGCTGACTTTCTCTGCACGCAGTTCCCTCTCCTCTCTGTTTTCAGGGCTTTTACTTGATGCTGAATGCAACCAAAGGCCTCTCTCATAAATGTATTCAGTTAATATTCAGTGCTGGACCTGATCCGTTGAACGTGACACCATAACCTCCTCCCCAGACGATTCTGTGTCACACAAATTGGTATGAAACTCCTGCTGTGTATTGATTCGGTGTTGCTTTAACCCACGTGTTGTATTATAGCCAGTGTCACATTCACTCTTGCCTTCTATGAAGCCACTAGCCAAGTTTCTGTTCAAATGTAGCACTAATTTTAACAGATTTTTTTTATAAAATCTGTAAAACAAACAGATGGCCATGTTGAAAACATGATGGAAATACAGTTCTGTTCAGTTTAGTGTGGTTTATTGGCATGACTGTTTCATTTAAATAATGTTGCCAAAGCTGTTGCAACAAAATCAATAAAGTCACATAATAGGTGCCAAGGTTTGCCGTAAGTCCTTCTGCTGGTCAGGGTGCGAATTCAGAAGAGGAAATCCAGTACAGCACAGACGCGTGCTTCAGTGAACTAAAATCTTACAACGCTTACAATATCCTTGCTTATTTAACTAATGTCATCAGTCTTTAGATGATGACAAAATCGATTTCATTACACCAGTTCAGGGGTGCCCCATACCACACGACAATTTTTTAAGTTAGGGGTCACCAAGTATTCTAGAGCAAAACTGCCAGAAAGTCAGACACACAACAGCAGACAGGTCATGACCGCTCAAACCAGACCCATACAATGCTGAACCAGAACTAAAGACACTATCATAAAACACAGTCTGCACTATCATCTCTAATTCCTCATTCTTATAATTCCCATCAAGTTTCAACTTGCTCTTTTTTAGCAAATACCTCCTTTCCTCTTGCTCATGTTGACTGTGAATGATGTAATCTGCGTCCAATAAAGCAGTAGTCAGACACTGTTGTTGGGGAATTTTTGGGGGGAATTCCAGAGTTAAAACAAAGGCCATGTTTATTGTGAAAGAATACTCCAAATGAAATAATAAACTTTATATTAATGTAAAAATGTATCTCTACAATAACTAATCCCCAATTTCACTGCCCATGCCTAAGCACCTGTGTTAGCTGACAATTACATTAAAAAGAATTAATTACATAGTGATAATGAAACGACAGGGTGGACTCTCAGCTAGCTAACATCAGATAGCTCATTTTAAGTGAAAGAAATGCTAATTATTAAACTCCGAAGGTAGGAAAGATAAGTGTATTTAAGCAGCTGGATAGTTAACTACTGACATTAACTTACA